TAATCGGCGCAGTAATGGCCCCTCCATCATTTAACGGACACGATGACGGACCGCATCCTCGGTGCATGCGCAGTTTTTCATTCGCGACGCCGGCGGTAGAGTCTACTTCTCGGGGTGAGTGTGTGCAACGGTACGATAGAGAGACTTCTCCGGGTGGCTGTGCTCCGGGACGCCGACAATAGAGACTTCTCCCGGGTGGCTGTACACCGGGACGCCGACGATAGAGACTTCTTCGAATGACTGTACACCGATAGAGACTTCTTGGAGTGACTGTACACCGATAGAGACTTCTCGGAGTGACTGTACACCGGGACGCCGGCGTGGCGGCATGGTGGATGGCATGGTGGATGGCATGGCGGATGGCATGGCGGATGGCATGCCGGATCCTAAGCAAACAGAAAGGGCTTAAGTGTCGCCAAGGTGGGTGTCGGCGGGATTAAGGAAGATGGAGCCTGCGTCATCTAGTCAGCACGACGGGCAGCCCAGCCCAGCCGGAGGCGCGCACGGACAGGGCTGCGCGGCGGGGAGGCTGGGAGGGCCGAGCAGGAGGGCTGCCCGTCGGTCATGTGACGGCGATGCGTCGAAACGGCCTGGCTTCGACAGTAAGCTGCGGCGGCGGGGCTGTGAAACGGCAGTCCTAGGACCGACAGGACCAACAGGACCAACGGGACCAACGGGACCAACGGGACGCAGTGGGGCAGTCGGGGCCGCCGTCTACCGTCCCCAGGTGGCGCAGAGGCGCACTCTATCGGGGCCGTCGTCAGCCGGGAAAGAGCCGCACTAGCGTTAGCGTGCCACTAGCGTGCACTTCGGGGCGCGTCAAACTTTGGGGCGTTACGGGGGCCATCCAGGAGTCCGGGGCGGCGGGGCGGCAGGGCGGTGGACTCGAGGGCCCGCCGCCCAGCGCGTTTACTGCCGAGCTTGCTGCAGAGAACCCCGCCGACGCCGCGGACTGAATGATTCCAAGAGAGTCACTCGAACACACTAGCTAAGCTCTCCCTCTCGCTCTCTCACTTGCACACATACGTAGATTCGGATGGAGGTCGGCAGGGGGTGCAACAAGTGGGCGGCGAATTGTTGCCACGCCGTCACTCACACACACACCTACACACAAACACACACACGCACGCGCGCGCAGCGCGAAACACTTAGCGTCCTGTCCGTCAGAGACGAGACGAACAAAGACCTTGACTGCGTTGTGTTTTCCATCCCGAGGTTTTCAAAGGGAGCGTTTCCCGCCGAAACGCGAAACCCTCCCGTACTCTGTAAGTTGTAGGCGTGAATAAATTCGAGCAGCTTTCCCCGTGGGCCAAGGGTGGCTGAGGGCCGGGTGCACAGTGGGGCACAGTAGGGCATCCCAGCGAGAAGGGTAAAGCTGCCGCTGGATTTCCCTCCCTTCCCCGCCACGACTGCTTCGACTTGGAAGGAGCGAGGCTGAGGCTTCCGCCGCTTCCGCGCCTGCATGTGTGAGCAGCGCCGAGGCAGCGCAGAACCCGATCCGGAGGCGGGGACGGGGCCCAGGACCCAGGACCCAGGACCCAGACACCAGGGCGTGCGAGTCGTGCATAGTTTAACGTATCGTTTGCTAAAATTAGACCGCCGCTTGTTCTGGCCCCGGGCAGCCGAGGGCGGGACCGGGCGGGACTCGACGCTTCGCCCCACGCCCCCGCGCCCCCGCGCCCCCTGTTGCTGTTCTGCTGTTGCGATGAACAGCCCCAGCCGGGGCGCCAGGGCCAGGCTCCGCGCCCCGCACGGCGGACCCGGATATGAGGACACTTTGCCACGGAAATGGTTTACACAGCCACGACGGCGGGGCGCCGTGGGGCGCCGGGGGGCGTGGCGGGGCGCGGTCAATGGCACGGCTGTTGATTGTGAGCAACAGAGCGGCGAGCACGGCCTCCAACCTCGGCAGCAGCGCAGCAGACTGAGAGTCGTTTTCGTCGCGCTGTCTCTCTCGCACTCACGAGGCGTCCCGTATGGGCGCGAGCGAGACTGAGCGACTCTCAGTCTGCAGGCAGCAGCGGGACGAAGAGGCGAATCAGAAGGGCATTAGGTTGCGCGTTCCAAGACCGAGACTGCCGAGACCAACAAGACCGCGGAGAGCAGCGTGTCAGCTTAGGGCCGCTCCCGCCCGCGTGGGCTCAGCGCCCGCCCCCGCCCCGCCCCGCCCCGCCCCGCCCCGCCCCGGCAAAGCCAGTGTAGGCAACCCGGCGGCAAGGTGTGGCGGTGCGGCAGCCCGCCGTGCCGCTATTGCGCCGAGGTGGAGGCCGAGACGAGGCGAACCGAAAAAAGAAGAAGAAGAGGGAAAACAGGGAGCTTCTTTTTCTTGACGGGCTAAAAGCCCGGCTCGGCAGCCTCGGCAGCCTCGGCAGACGGAGGATGAAGCGAGGTGGGTTGAAAGGAGCAGAGGGCTTGACGTGCGTGCGAGTGGAAACGCGGGCAACGCGGGGGAGGGGACTGGTCTGCTCATTGTCAGTGTCGGCCCGACTCGGGGCTGAGGGGCCGAGGAAGACGAAGACAGGGCATTGTTGACCAGGGATCGGACACACCAGACACACGACACAATGCCGCAAGCCGGCAGAGGTCTGCAGCAGCCTCCAGCGCGCGCGGGCGTTTTCGCCCCGCTGGAGATTTGGCGACCGTTCCGTGTTAATGTCGCGACTACTCCACACTCCCTGCGGGCTGATTCCGCGAGTAGTCGCTCCGTCTCTCTCGCACCTATGCGGAACGCCCCGTGAGTGCGAGAGAGACGGAGCGACTGGGCTGCCAGACGGGCTGCCAGACGGGCGTGCCGCGTGCCGGGCTGAGCGGACGGCACGCGCGCCCTCTATTTCCCCAGGGCGGTCCCTTGCAGCACCAGCCAGACAAACTGGCAATATAACTTGTCCGGCCGGCGACAACGGGGAGCCGAATTCTGGCGCGAGATATGGCACTGGCACCTCCCGCTGTGTTTTTTCTTCTGTTTTTCTGTTTTTTCTCCGGAGCCGGACCTCATTCTCATCGCCCGGACTTTCGGTCGACTCGTTGTCTCGGTGCTGCCCGCACCCCGTACCGCACCACCGCGCGGGTACCACCACACTGGTAGGCTTCTCGCGGGAATAATGCTCTCTGCTCGTCCGCTCGCGGGGCGGGGACGGCGCGGCGGCGCCCAAAACATGCGGGGACATTTTCGATTTCCCGGTCGCTGGCTCCTTTTTGTGAAGTTGGAGAGAAAAGGGGTTGGCGGGCGTCGGGCAGTGAGTCGGTTGGTCGGAAAAGAGAGTTGAACCATGGTGCCGCGAAGAGCACGGTGAGGGGCAACTTGTTCGCATCAGACAAAGCAGGGCGTGTTTGTTGTACCCGCCCCAGCCCGGACCCGGCCCCTCCCCCCTTCCGAAATTCGACCATTGGTCGCCAACCCGCCGCGTCAAACACGGCCTAACACGGCGCGCCGGTCGCGCTGGACATTCGGAGGACAAAGGTCAACTTTCCCGGCCGTGGACCGCAATTTAGCATCTGAAATTAATTTCCCCTTGGCGGGCCGAAAATAAAGAATCGCTGGAGCGGTGAAACTTGGTGTCAAAGTGACTGGAAAGCCAACCGGTCTGCTGGCGGCTGCTTCCCAAACAGTGCTCCGTCTCACTCGCACTCACGGGTGCGTGCGAGAGAGACGGAGCGACCGAGCTCCGTTCGGAAGCACCCTGCTGGGGGCTGAAAGGCGAGCCAGACGCGCGCTTTCCACTGGAACATTGGACAGGCTTTATTTCTCATACAGACCGAGACAGGTGACGCGCGAAGCTGCGCCACGCCGCGCCACGCCGCGCGGGGCGGGCGACAATTTTTATGGCACACTCCGCCGGGGCTGAGTGCGGAGGCGGGATGTGGATCGGAGGGTATGAGTCTGCGCAGCGATTCCGAGAAGTGTTTTGCCGGCCTGTCCCTCTCCCACCCCTCGGGGCAGTCCGTGAGCGCGAGAGAGACAGAGGGCCGGCCTGGGCCGTGGCGCCCGCCGTGGCGGCCAGGGTCGCAGAGCGGACCACTAACCGACTCTATTGACTCACGCCAACCTCACGTCTTCACCCCGTACTCCGTACGAATGGATCCCACGGGGCAGGAGGCGCGGAGAGGAGAGGAGAGGAGAGTGTGGCTGGCTCTGGCCGTGGCGTAGCGCTGGGGGCGGCCCTGGGGGCGGCGACGGCGGGGGCATAGAGGCAGAGAAGGCCAGCAGCGTCGCGGCCTCGGAGCTCTGCAGCGCGCAAAGCGCAAAGCACTGCCCCTTACGTGAAGGCTTTGTGGTTCCCCAGAGCCATGCTGCACTCCTGCACCGCGCGGCAGTGGCCGCGGAAGGCGAGGCGTCGACGCCGCGTCGTGTCGGGCAGAGGCCGTGGGGGAGGCGGCCGCGGCCGCAACCAAGGCCGCAATCAGCACGCCGTCCGAAGCCGCCACAGAGGTTTCCTCGTTCTCTGTGAAGCAAGACAGAGCTGCTTCTCCAACGGACAGCCGGTTTGATGGTGGGCGGCTTCCAAGCCCTTCACAGAGAGCTCCTTGACCAGGCGGCGGTCTAGCTCTAGTTCGAGACGGCCTACTGTGGGAACCCGGCCACCTAGTCGTCGGCGACACCGAGAAGGCCGTGCCGGCGGGGGGGCGTGCCCGGGCGTGCCGCGGTGTGTATCCGCGGGCTCGGGGCAGTGCTGCGCGGTGCGGCGGTGCGGTGCCACCCCTGCAGACTGATTCCGAGAGTCTCTCTCACACCGATGCGCGACGCCCCATGAGTGCGAGAGAGACAGAGCGACGACTCTCGGAATGAGTCTGGTGCCTATTTCCGTGCACGCGATGGTGTTGTTGGGGCCTCGCATGCTGCCTCGCTGCAGTCCGGGAGTTTTGCAATTGGAGCGGCCGCTCGCCGCGAGGGACTGCGTCACTCCAAAACAACGAAGCGAGGCGGCGCGCGAAAAAGCCAACTCCCCCGCCCCGACCGGGCCGCGAACCCGAACCCCCTCCCCGCGCCGCCCCGCGCTTACCTCAGCAATCTCCGACGGCCGTTGCGTCTCGCCCGGTGTAGCCAAGTTCGACTTTCCACCCACGCCCCGCGACCCTGCTGGTGAACCTGAACAGAGCAAACACAGTTTTCTCCTCAAGTGTATGCGGTTGCCGCTTCTTTTTTTCTCCGCCGAAGGAGGAACGTGAATGTGGTGTCAGCTTCATGCTTATCCAGATTCACATTGGCATTCTCGCGCGGGGCGCGCGGACGTGGGGACAGGCGGATATTGGGCGGCCTTGCCGGACCGTGCGGCCGTGCCACGCCACGCCACGCCACGCGCGGGGACGGGACGGGACAAGTACGGGCATCGCCACTCCCCTCACCGTCACCGCCACTCCGCCCCCTGCTCCAGATTCAGGCCTGGCTTGGCGCGGAGCGTGGCGCGGAGCGGGCCGGAGCAGCGAAGCCCCGAAAGGGCAGCGAGGACGCCGAGAGCGAGGGGAAACGGCGGCAAAAGAACGCATTGGGCGCGGCGGTTTGCCGGCGGGGGGCGTGGGCGGAGGGGCGGGGAGGCGTGCTGCCGCCGGTCCGTACAACGCCCCAAGCACGTGGGAAAGGCCATCAGCCAGGAGCCGGGTGAGGTGTTTGCAAAAAAGAAGACGAAGGAGGGCAGCAAGCGCCAAGAAAGGAAGAGACCTGTCAGCGACTCGGCGGCGAGGGCCTCGGCGAGGGCGGTGACGTGACGCACACCGCATACACCGGGCCGACCTGCCCTGCCGCCTGCAGCCCGCTGCTTGGGGCGCGGGTCGCGTCGCCGCGGTGCCTCGCCGCCTCGCCGTTCGGATATTGCGTGGTGTCAATGCAAACAAGGCGATCCGTCTTCCGGGCCAGCGCGGCCGGCGGCGCGGCCATCTCAGCCTCCATCACGGCCGCCTCCGCCTGCCGCCTGCACCGCGGGCGGCCCGGCCACAGCCCGCCACCACGACAGCCACCTCCGCCTCCACCGCGAGGGGCCCAGCCACCGTCGTGCGCAATCTGTCCCCGGGAAATTCGTCAGCTAATTTATGGATGGAGAAGCGCCCCGCCCGCCCACCACACCGCCCTGCCGCTCGGCTCGGCTTGGCTCGGCGGCGACACACCGGCAGCCTCATCAAACGCGCATGATGGAAATGGAGCTCGCTGCCGGTGATTAGAAAAACAAAAACAACGCCACGCGCTCCGCGGCCGCGTCGTCCGCGTCGTCGGCGTCGTCCCGCGGACCCGCGCCACTAATTAGTCGTCAGGCACACACTCGGCTTCGCAGGGAAGGCTTCGCCGGGCGGCGCCAGGCAGCCGTGTAAGAAATTACTAAGCCATTACGCAGGGCCCGCGGGCCTCGTTGAAGTTGGGGCCGCGGACCCAGCGGACCCAGCGGACCCCGCGGACCCCGCAGTGTTCGACATTCTTTTCCCCGAATTATTTTTATTCATAATGTAAATGAGACACGGCCGGTGGGCGGAGCAGCAAGCAGCTGGCAGTGTCGAGGCAGGGTTATCACGACGCAAGTTTTTCCTGTTGGCCGCTGTCGCTGTCGTCGCTGGGTTGTTCTTGTTCTGCCCCCAACAAGTGCTGCCGCCTGCTCCCCTCCCGGACGCCGCGCCAGGCCAACGCCATTGTGCTTGCTCACGTCGCGTCGCGTCGCCGCGGCCGAGTCCTCGAGACGGGCTGTGCTTCTGTCAGCCGGAGATAATCGCAGACGTCTTACGGCGCCCGCGTCGCTCCGTCTCTCTCGCCCTCGCGGGGGCCCCGATAAGGGTGCGAGAGAGACGGCGTCGACAAGGGCCGCCGCTGCGCCAACAACTTGTCCGCGGGTACTTTCCGGCCAAACTTCAGGGCAGCAGGCGGACTCCGAGAGGCGCCTCGTCGTCGTCGTTCTGTCTCGCTCGCAACGTACACGGGGCGCGCCGTGGGCTCGTGAGTGCGAGGGAGACGGAGCGACGGCAGTGCGGTTCGGAGTGGCGCGTTTTGCGCCGCGCGAAGGCGAGGACTCACAAGCCGTGTTGCGCTTAGGCCACCGTTTCCGGCGCTTCCGGCGCGATCAAGTTTGGAAAGAGCCTGCAGGCGCTGTAGCGGCTTGGCGGGGCGGGGCGGGGCGGGGCGGGGCGGGGCAGTGACCCTTGTGACGTCACGAGCGTCACGCAGCGCCGCGGCGGACGGCGAGTCGCTCCGCGGGGACGCCGGGGGACGCCACCGCGCCATGGCGGTGCACCACAAAGGGACGCCGTCGAGCCGGGTCGGGCAGCCCCAGGCAGCCCCAGGCCGGGCCGTCCCGCCGGAGCGCCTCATCGTAACGGACGCCGTCGGGGTGGGGTAGGTTACGCCGCGCCGGCACTGGCGGGGCTGGTGGGGCTGGTGGGGCTGGCGTTCGAGCAGTGGCGGATCCAGGATCCAGAGCCAACCTGAGGGAGGAGCCTGTGGCTGTCTGCGTTCCTTTCAGGCGACTTTCTAAGGGGAGAGGGGCAATTGTCCTCTTGCCCTTCCTCCCGATCCGCGCCTGCATGAGCTAGTGCGGCCCATTGATACCGGTGCGGCCTTGGACGAGACTGATTCCGAGAGTCGTCGCTCTGTCTCTCTCGCACGCATGGGGCGTCCGGTTCGGGTGCGAGAGAGACAGAGCGACGAGAATGACGCTCGACCCGCAGGCCCTGCAGGCAGCGACGCAGCGACGCAGCGGCGCGCTAGGAATTCGTTTGGATGCCTTTTGAAGGCAGCGCGCCGTGCACCTAGTGTGGGCCCCGTGTGTACACGCAAACGCACACACACAGACACAGACAGAGGCCGCATTCCAGCCGACATCAACATAACCGCGCGCAATGGGCGGCAGTGGCGCTGCCGACGGCCGCACATGAAAGGGCGGCCGAAAGACCCGCGGGGCGCGGGGGCCCGAACCGCGGCCTTCCCTTCTGTCGAGGAGCGCCTGATGTTGTTGTCGGTCACGGCCGGCGCCAAGCTCGGCCAAGCCAAGCCCCGGCCCGGTGAGGCAGGTTGAATCGGTTGAATCCGTACAGCGCTCTGTCTCTCTCACGCAGAGCCCCCCCCCCTAGAGAGCGATAGAGACGAAAACTAGGAAGACCGGTCATATCGCCGCTCTAATAAAGGCCCTGAATCGGTCGCGCGAGAATCCCGGCGACCTGTTGACTCGAGTGATTGGTCCCCGCTCCCACTCTCCGTCATGCTGCCCACGCAGCACATCCCCATCCGAGTGGGGGCGGCCCGCCGGCCGGCGTTTTCGTCGCTGTCTCTCTCGCACTCAATGGGCGACCCCTACCCGTAGACTGGCGCGAGAGAGACAGAGCGACCTCAACGATTTTCTGAATCAGTCTACTGGTGGTACTGGCGGGTACTCCATCCCCCTACTCCGGATGTCGTGCTGTGCTGCTGTGCGCACAGCCTGCCCCTCGAGTGCCAATCAATCCTGGGTTGGGGTTTCAAATCTCTGTCTGTCTGTCTGTCTGTCTGTCTGTCTGTCTGTCTGTCTGTCTGTCTGTGTCTAAGGAGGGGGGAGGCTCACGTAGCTGTATGGCCATTGCATGCTGCAGGCCTGCTCGGCAGCAGTAGTGGGAAGCTCTCTCTCTCTCTCTCTCTCTCTCTCTCTCTCTCTCTCTCTCTCTCTCTCTCTCTGCCGCCGCGCCGAAGGCGCGGCGGCAAAGGCCAAGGGCGCCGAGGGTGCCAAGGGCGCGCGGTGCGCGGTGGCACCGTGGCGGCAGCGTGGCGGCACCGAAGCGGACGCATGCAGGCAGAGCAAACACCTTTCGAGCGGGCCGCCGTGGGCAGTCCGCAGTCGGCAGGTCGGCAGTCGGCCGGCCACGGCCACAATGCGCCCGCTGACACAGTGCCGTACCCCCAGCCCTCGCCCCCCCCCCTCCCCGCGCGCCCGGGGACACAAAGAATCCGACCACTTTTTGGTGGGAATCATAATTCGGTGACGTGCGTCGGCGTCGTGTTGGTACACATGCCGCCTTTGTATGGCTATATACGCTGCTGTGTGTGTGTGTGCATGTGTAAGTGTGTGGGTGTGTGCCTGCGCGTCTGTGTGCGTGTTTGAGTTGGTACGTGTGCAGCACAATATAACACGGACGCAATTTTGTCGACACACGTACCCCAACACAATGGAACTAGTACTGGGTCACTCGAAAAAAAAACACGACTTTTGTTTTCACGCGATAATGAAAGAAACAAAAAAATACGATTTCAAGAAATCCTAGGAGTCACGAAGTCAATTTGGGTAGGAGTGTGGGGAAAGCAAAAAAGTTATGTAAAAGGTAGGGGGTGGCTCAAGGGTGGCTACGAATGGCAGTGGTGCCAATGTGGTCGATGTGCCACCCGTCAAAATTTAACCATGGCAATAAAGAGAAATCAAAATGCCGGGAAATTCGAAAAATTCCAATGCTAATGTATTCCACAGTGATCCGACAAAGGAACATCTTTGAAGTCCATCATTATGAAAATTTTGGTTGCAGAAAGAAGGCAGTAAATTAATTTTCGCAGGTTGGCAACAATTTTGTCGGCGCCTGCGCCCTTGCGAAAATCGCGAAGCTGAAAACACGAGTATAGTCGCGCATTAAAACTGCCCCTCCATTGTTGCTGACGTTGAATTGTTTGGCTTGTTTCAAAAGGCTACGGTTCTCTAGTCATGTTTTCTTCAATTCTGTGTAATAGTTCTCACTCACAACGTAGCAACACCACGACGGTTGGCTTGACAAACTTTATAAACTCGAGAGGGATGGTCTCGAAACGCGGGTGAGTCTTGTTCGAAGAACATGAGCACTGAAAGTCGCGAGGTGGAGGGAAGTGATCATGGTGCTAACTGAATCAGAAGTACCATCAAACCTGGTTAAAAGGAGCAGCTATATGACCAGCTTATTCAAAAAGAGACTAAAAGTCTTAAAGCGACTCTTAAACTACATTAAGGAAAGATAATTCACAGATGCATGAGCACAGGTACGCAGTTAAATGGCTCAATTCACTCCGATTTGAAGAGTAACAAAAATTTTCAACAAAACAACAGCAAAAACAACAACGCAGCGGTGCGGGATTGGTGCGGGACACTCTCATAAAAAGTCACTGGCCGGCCGGCCGATCCAAAT